CATAGTTTAGACGAACTTAAACTCCCTGTTAGCAAATAATTTTAGTTAACTTAACGACGAACCGTTTAAGCTTAACACTGTACAGATAAAAAATAAAAATAAAAAAATCTGTAAGATAATACAATTACGAAAAACATTTATAATTTTATAACCATTAATTCAAACATAATAAATATTTATCTATACATATTTTCGAACCTTCTGAATAACTTTACTTATGCGACCAAAGTTGATTTCCTTTGACCAAAATACTTAAATTGATCTTTGAAGTCACTGTACGAATAAAAAATAAAAATAAAAAAAATTCGTGAGATAATATATTTACAAAAACGTACATAACTTTACAACTATTAATCCAATCATAATAAAATTTTATATGCATATATCTTCGAATCTGCTAAACAACCTTACTTACGCGACCAAAGTTGATTTCCTTTGACCATAATACTTAAATTGCTCTTTGAAGTTACTGTATGGATAAAAAATAAAAATAAAAAAATTCGTGAGATAATATAAATACGAAAAACGTACATAACTTTATAACCATTAATCCAATCATAATAAAAGTTATATTCATATATTATCGAATCCGCTGATTAACTTTACTTATGTGACCAAAGTTAATTTTTTTTGACCAAAATGCTTAAATTGCTATTTGAAGTCACAAAACGAATAAAAAAAAAATATATTTTGTGAGATAATACAATTATGAAAAACATTCATAACTTTATAACTATTAATCCAATCATAATAAAATTTTATATGCAGATATTTTCGAATCCGCTGAACAACTTTACTTACGCGATAAAAGTCGATTTTCTTTGACCAAATTGCTCAGATGTCTCTTTGAAGTAATTGAATGGATAAAAAAAAATTAAAATTAAATTGTTGAACAATTAATTGTAAAAATGTTTATAATTTAAAATTTAACTATTTGATTACAAAGTAATTATACAAACAAATATAAAAAGAAAGTATATTAAATAAAATTAAAGATGTTTTAAAAAAAAAATAGACAAAAAAAATTTTTTTAAATATTTTATTTCGTTTAATTTGATTGGTTGACCCAAATTTTATCAGGTCAGGTCATAAGTTTGACCCGACCTGATGTTGACCTGAAAATTTGTTTACCCAACCTGGATTTTTCAAGTCGGGTCGGGTCGGGTCACAGGTTGACCTGACCTGATTCAGAGCTCTATTAGTCTTATTGTTTTTGAAGACGTTTTGAATCACATGCCATACATACTTTCTACTGTAATCAAAGAAATAAAATACTAAGATTACTTTAATTTCAGCAGAAAAACTTCTTATGAATTTACATTATAGCATATTTTCACATTATTGGTGGATTCCAAAAAGTGGAAATGTTACATCAGAAGCTGAAAACAAACTAATACTTATACGCGTAGGCCAGAAAACACATATTTTTCTTAACGAATGAAAATTTATAATTAGAGTTATAGTTGATAATAAAGAAAGTCCAAAATGTCTTGGTTATTGTTATGAATCAGGAAAATTTTCAAGTAATGTAGAAACTTCAGCCACAGAAGCTATTTCAAGTTTATATATGCAAAATTTTTACAACAAAACAAGAAAATCTGATGCTATAGCTATTGGTTATAATGACAAAAATATAATTGAAGAACTTCAAGAGAACGTTATATTTTTTCCTTTCTTTATTTATTTAGATAAAATCAAAATTTTTGTATTTCAACTAGGTACTTCGTCAAAATATGTGTTTCATAATGCTAGACCTGATTATATGTCATCTTTTATTTATACTATTAGCTTAAACGGTTCATCGTTAAGTTAACTAAGATTATTTGCTAACAGGGAGTTTAAGTTCGTCTAAACTATGGAA